AATAGTTGATCTATCCTTATGCAAAAAAGCACAACAAGCACTTGAAAAATCAATAATAAAAGTTATCATGCATTTAGTTCTATCACGATTTTGTGCAATTAGATTTGCACATTGAAAAAACTTTACGATAAGCATGATGATGCACTTTAACTTCCATAATACCATAGATGAGGTCCCGCATGGCCTTAATTTCGCTCTCTATGTATGATAAATCACGTAATCTTGAAGAAGCATGTTAATCACATTTAAAGAGTCAAAATACAATTGAACTCTAGAAAATCCTAACTACAAGAAAGTTAAACTATATTCTCCAACTCTGCTCCAGACACCAAATAGGGTCTTCTAAAATTTGCTTAGACAAAGCTTTTATGATTTGATGAGGCAAGATTATGAATGGCTTAATTATTTCCAAGATCCTAGCCCCAATTTTTGACTTAATCAAGTGGTCTAGATGTGGGAAGAATGCATTTCAAAGAGGTAGTCATGGAGGAGTGAGCGCTAGAAGGTGTAGTTTGAGGGAGAGGTAGAAACTCAAAATCTTGGATGACTATTTGTATAGCTGAAAAAGTCTAAGGTTGGTCCATTGCTTTAGAGTGTAAAATGACCTAAAATAAAAAGGCCTGCGCTTTTAAGCACCTTTTTATAATTTTTATAAATTTTAATATTAAAAAATTCTAAAACCCTAGCCTCATTTCATGAGGATGAAGAAGGAATATATAAAAAATTTAATATCTTTGCCATTGATGAGGCTCCACAAGGAGAAGGATGAAACTATATTGATGTTGATGACAATAAAAATCATCAAGATTTAGTTAATGATGTTTGATTGTCTTTAGTATTGATTTTGTGATGTTTTCTATTAGACTTAAATTTATTGTTGCGTGTATTGACTTAAATTTGTTGTTCTAAACTTAATATCATATATAATAATTTTTTAAAATTTAAAATTTGTTTTTTATTTTTAAATTAAAAAATGAAAAAAATATGGGTCCAAGACCCTAAGAGCCAAGGCTAGGCTGACTAAAATGGAGACTGCAGGTATAATTGAGCTCAATAAGGTCAGCCTATTTAGGCTCTGACCCTTCAGGGAATGGCCCTACCTTGCCTTAATTAATAACTTTAATTATTTGGCTATCAATTTGGGCTAAGGAACCAGTTACAATAACATGAGTTCTCAAGCCCATAACTCTTTTATCTTGCTTAGGTTTATCTATCATGGAATTAGGTCCAAGATTTACCCCATTAGAGTTTGCACTAGGTAGAGAAGCTTTGCTACTTGAGCCTCATGAATTGGGCTTAGAATTTTCCTTTCCTTTAGCCACATATATCCCTTTCACATTATGTGATTCCACCCCTTGAGACTTACTATTTTGTCCCATTCCTATGTCAACTTTTTTTTGAACCCCTTTTTTTCAACAATACATTGCTAGTGCCTTTCCCGCATTGTTAGAACCCCTCTTTTCTTATACTAAGGTTAGGTTGGCTTGGGGTATCATCATCATCATCTCTTAAGTCTGCAAGGGCTGTGTATCTTGAGAAAATCCATCTATCATTAGCTTTTTTCCTTGGGTCAATGTTCCTTCCCCTGTTTTCGTATCTACCTTTATGACCATTCGAGTATGGGAACTGAGGACAAGTTGACTCAAATGGAAACATCCAAATCCCAAACTTTTCATCTTTTGAGGGAAGCTTGCTCACTAGCGACAAGCATGGTGGTGGGCTATAAAAATTGGAATTTAATGGTTGGGAGGATAATGAACAAGATTTCCATAGACACGCTTCCTTTTAATGCCATACCTTTCACAAGCAAAACGCATTAGACTAAGCCTTTCATATGCCACATTAAAAATAGTAGAAGCTAAGATTATTCGGGGCATCAATTTCTTTTGTAACTAAAGCTTGAAGCAAGTCCTCGCATATTTTTTGCATTCAGCTTTAGCTCTTGAAGCATCCATATCTGCAATGGTATTCATGTTGACCTTAATAGTGTGATCGATCATATTATCTAATCTCTATATAAAACTCTTGGTTTAGCATTGCATAGGATGTTAGGGATGCAAACCCAAGTAGTGATTCTTCTCGAAGAGTTAAGAAAAGGATCAAAGTATGAGGTCCACCTTTGCACAAGCACACAATGTTGTGCCATAATCCAAGTTCCTTGAAACAAAACTTTCTTGTAGTGAATCGTTTAGTTGTTTTCATTAGTAAAATGAACAACATAACAGTTGTCAGGAAGATCAATTAACTCAAAATCCTTCAACTGCCATGTTCTACTAAGAGATTCTTTGAGTTTTCGTAGTATGAAGCATGCACCCAGAACTATAATGACTAAACCATTGTTCCATAGCCTACGCCATTCATTAAACTCATCGTGAGTAGTAGGAACAACTGGGTAGACATCCATGAATTGTTTGATTTACTTAAAAGGTTCGGGTATCTCCCATGTTTGGTCAAACAAGTCTGAGATTAAGGTATCATCATCTATGGTTGAACTTTTATAAGCTACATCATTCAAGTCAGTTCCTTTAAATCCTTAGAGTAAGGCCTTATGCAAAGATTGCTTGGGATTGATTGTTAGGTTCATCTTATCTTCATAATGTTGTTCCAGTTCAACGCATATTGTTTGATCTCCTTCTTGTTTCCTTAACATGATCATTTGGAGAGACTAGCTCTAAAGGTTTGTCCGGCGGCATTTTTCAACTAAAGTGTTGTGGTATCCCTGGCAAAACATGGATACAATCTCATAAGTTCTACATTGAAAAACCTTATAAATATGAGGGACCTTTTTTTTTTTTTAATTGGTTAGTCTTTTAAAATTATCTTTCTTTAGACTTTACATAGATGACATTGTTAATATTAAAATTTTTCTAAAGTATGTATAGAATTTACCTTGGTAATTCGAATAGATTTTAACTTGGTAATCAACTAATCATATTTCATAATTCGATCCAAGTCAACATTCATCACACTCTTCCTTCTTTTCGTACAAAAGCGCGTCACTCTCTTATCCCTTCTTACTAACTCTCACTCCCTCAATCAATACCAACGGGTCCCTCACTCCTCACACCCTCCTCCAGCCAAAAAAGTCCAGCTATTCTAATAGCCATCAGGCAGTGATTTTGTCACCTGCAGTGTCACGTTGTTTCCCAAGCCCTTCCCACTCCATTTGAGCCACGTGTCTGCCATCAGCTCTGGCACGGTGGCACTTATCAGCCCCACCTTCTGCAAATTGCAATTTACATGCCCTCCACTACAAGCAAGCTAGTTTCATCCAACTCTGATACAACCCAAAATATCTTAATTGATAATGTTTCAAAAATTCAAAAGCAACTATATAAAAAAATTATTGCCCCATTTCGGAAGTAATGTTTAATTTTTTAAAAAAAGTTAAATACATTTTTTTAATCTCTTTCAATTAAAAACTCATACTGAAATTTAATAGCTTTCAATTTTTATTCAGACAAATATTTTACTAAATTCCATTAATGAAATTAACTATTATCTTTAACATTCTAATTCTATTTATAATTATATATATAATTTACTCCTTCCAAACCACAGAATAAAGCATTTTTTAAAAATCTTATTTGGTTTAAAATATAGAACATTAAATAATTTTTATATTTATATTTTAAAAAAAATATAACTTTAAATCCCTGCACATTAGCACGTTTTACTTTAGATTTTTATATTTTTTTATATTTTAAATCTCTACCCTTTTATTTTTTATTATTTTAAGTTCTTCTAAAGTCTCAACACTTTGTTTATGAAAATCTAAAACAATGAAAAATAAAAATATAGGAATTTAAAATACAAAAAAAAGTGTAGTGACTAAAAGCAAAATGCTAGCAAAATGAAGGAACCAAAAGTTATATTTTTTTTCTTATTTTTCAACTATATCCTTACTTCATTTATTACTTTTTTCAAAAAAAATTATGCATTGAAATTGTAATTACTACTATCAAGGTTTTTATATAAAGTATTTAATAAAGGTATAAATAAAAAATGTAGACATTTTTAAAAATTTAAAATTTTAACTAACATTATACATAAATTGTCAGTTAGTTAACTATAATTTATATTATGGTTAGGAGAAAGTATACTAATAAATGAGATAAAATAATACACAAATCTAAACTAATAATACAACATACTTCTTCTATTTTTATTTGTAAGAAAAACTATCACTTTTAGTTTATTTTTTTACATAAGCAAAATTACATTTTTTAATAAGAATTTATTACAAACTTCCTAAATTACTCCTTCTAATTTTATCATTCATAGTCATAAGAAACAATTAATAAAAGCTTGATTAACACAATTAATAAAGAATACTGTAGTGTAGTCTAATTCTTTTTTATACATAATTAATATAATTAATCAATTTTTTAAACAGTATGATACTTTTTTTCTCATACAAATAAAAAGGGAAGGAGTATCATTACTCCATGGAGTATCATGTACTCTCTTTGTTAAAAAATATAAAGCATTTTTAATTAAATTTTATTCTAATAAAATAGTTATCTACTTTTAAACTAATATTATCTTTTCATCTTTACTCTATTAAACACCCTACAATAAATATAAAGTCATTCATCAATAGGGGTACTTTTAGAAAAAAAAAGTAATAATTACACCTCAAAAAATTAAAAATATTTTATATTTTTTAACATTTAATTTTTTAAAAAATGCTTTACATTTTTTAACGGAGAGAGTAATTATGTTAAAAACATAGTTTACAATTATAATTTTAAAACTCATGAAAACAATTAATTCAAAATGTTATGCAATATTTATTATTCTAAACAAAACATATTTATATATATAATACTTTCATACAGCACAAAATAGAATAGTAAAATGTGCTGGCACAAAAAAAAAAAATTACTAAAATGCAAGGTATGCCTTGAATATGCTTTTTTTTTAAAAAAAAAAAAAAAATATCCCGCAGTGTCCTCTTCCACGACAAGCTTATAACTTGATCACTCAACGATAGAAACAGCCTCCTTCCTTTTCTCGCTATTTTGGTCCCAACCCAGCAAATCAGCACAGATAAGTGATAACTATGGAGAACTATACGTACCCTTCCTATCCTGACTCAGGCGACTCGTCTCCTCGCTCTAGAGAGGTTGAATTCGAGAACCCTCCGCCGTGGGACGACCAGCAGCCGCCGCCCAATTACAAAGCCAAATTCATGTGCAGCTATGGCGGCAAGATCCAGCCTCGCAGCCACGACAACCAGCTCTCCTACGTCGGCGGCGAGACCAAGATCCTCGCCGTTGACCTCAACATCAAGTTCTCCGCCATGATTTCCAAGCTCTCCGCCCTCTGCGACGGCGCCGATGTCACCTTTAAGTACCAGCTACCGGGGGAGGAACTTGACGCGCTGATTTCTGTCACCAACGACGATGATCTGGAGCACATGATGCACGAGTATGATCGGCTGTACCGTGCTTCCGCTAAGCCCGCTCGCATGAGGCTCTTCCTCTTCCCTGCTAATAATAGCCAGGCATCGAGTTTCGCGTCCGATCAGGATCGCTTCGTCGAGGCTCTCAACACGGGTCCGGGTCCGAATCCGCCCGACTCGGTTAAGCCAGCGCCTGTTCCTGGCAGCAACGTCGATTTTCTCTTTGGTCTGGAGAAAGGAGTTCCTCCGCCGCAGCCACCGCCTGTGGCTGTCAAGTTTCATGACCCTGTTCCAGGACCGGTGGTGCCACCTCTAGAGTACCAAGTAAGAGCTGGCCCTGAACGGGTCATCGGTTCCGATCCTTCTGTGAACCCGATCGAAGTTCAGAGGCAGTTTCAGAGGATGCAAATTGGGGAGCATGATCAGGCTGTGTATAGGAGAAAGAGCGAGGATAATGCATCAGGTGGGTATGCAGCCGGAGATTATTATGTCCAGAAGTTTGCCGACAAGGCTCCTCAGTCGAATTTGCAGGCCACGGCACCTCCAGCCGGAGGTTATTGGCCGGAAAAGCAAATTCCAAGCGAGGGTTTTCCGCCGATGACAGCATCAAATGGATCCGGGGGAGCAGACCAGCCGGTTTATGTTGTTCCACAGCCTGGAACTTTCTACCACGCGCCGCCGGTAATGCGTCCTCCGGGGGCACCAGCCACTCAAGGGTACTACACAGTGCAGCGAATGGTTTCTGATGCCTACCGTGAGCAGCCCGTTTATAGCACGTCGGCGGCGCCCCGAGCGCCATTCTCATCAGCGGCTCCGGCGACCTTGGCACCGGCTCAGCCTGTCAAACCTGCCGCGTATACTGAAGGGTTCAACGTGGTACGGCAAGCTGGGATACCGGATAACTCAGGAGCGTACGCGCAGGTGGCGTACGATAGCTCAGCTGGGAGACAGTTTTACTATACTGCGCCGGGAGGAGTGGTGCAGCAGCCGCCGCCATACCAAGGGGTTGCTCCGACGGTTGGTACTGATATAAGACCCGCCGGAGTCCAAGATCATAAAGTGGTCAACAAGGTTTCCCAAGGTTAACTTGGAGTGTTAACAACAGTTCATGTTTCTTTGGGATAATTATCTAATGCGTATACTGCTTGGTTTTACTGTTGTATACAACGTTGGACATGGAAGAATTATTATATTTTTATTATGTTGTTGAGATGTGTCCTCCTCCTGTATTTGGTTTGTAAAAATTGGCATATTTACTCTAATTCTAAATTTAAATTGCCATAGCTTTTGACCTTTGGGAAATTTAATGGTTGTACTAAGATGAGCATGAGATTACTTGAGCCTGGAAGAGACAGAATCACTCTATTTTATACATACACATAATGCAATTATACATACATACATACATATATATAATCTCATGAGCCTGGAAGAGACAGAATCACTCTATTTTATTTGTTTTTTTTTTTTTGTGCGCTAATTTTGCCGTTCTACCCTTCTTGCTGTTAAAAAAAATTATTGAGGTTAGACATGACTTGACCTTTTTGCCCCCACATCGGATTGAATGCTATTTTTTATTGCTATTAATTAAATATAAATTATTAAAATTGTTTGAATGGAAGGAGAACCGGAGAAGTTGCATTTATCTGGATGGCTAACCTAAAAATAATAAATTAAATTGAAAAGGCACAATAATGATTGAAAAGAAAATTCCCACAAGATATTATTTCATGATTGACCTATAACCTATGTGCCTTTGAAAATAATAATTAACCTCAAATTTTTTCTTTTGGCCAGTAATAGCCTCTACTTTAATCCAACAATTTCTTTTAACGAAGAAAAAACAAAGGAAAGGCCTTAATTAAAAGAGAGACCAATAAAGCCAAGGAAACGGGCATTGTGCCTATAATACATTTCCAAATTAAGTAAATATCTGCAATCTTCTGGAGGCTCTCTCATAGTCTCATTTACTAAATGCCTATGGCATGAGCAAATTAATAATCCAACGATTTTACAAATATATGCGTCAATGGTTGTTGTTTTGACATCTTGATAAATGTCAAATTAAATACAATCCATCGAAATTATTAAATTTTTGATTTATTATATGTCCTTTATTTTTCATGCCCCAAAAGGAAAGAAACTATTTCTTACCACTCCATTCAATTCTATTCATAAAGAAGAGTGAATTTTTTATTTTATTTTATTTATAAGTTATATCATTAAATTTTTATTATAAATTCTTTTCTTTACCTTCTATTAAATATTAGTGAAAGGAAATGTGTTATTAAAACATGTATATTTTTTACCAAAAAAATAACATCTAGTAAAGATAGAATTTTTTAATTTTTAAATAAAGTTAATAAATTTTAATTTTTTAATTTTAATAAAATATGATGAAAAAAATTTACAAACAAAACTAGAGGATACATGAATGAGAACCATAATTGGGGCAAACACAACTCAAAACATTGAAATCATAATTAAAGTTTTAAGATGACCTTGTGAAGTTGTAAAATTGAAAAAAAAAAAAAGGCGAAAATTGAGAGAAAGGACAACAGCTTCCGCAAGTTATGTATTTTGTTTGTGTCCATGTCAATACCTTGTAAGCAGCACTTTAGTGCGTGATAACAAGGTTCACATGGAAACAAAAAATGCAAGGATCAGCTAAAAAAATCACTTGCGCACATGTGTCCTGTTATTTACAAAAAATGACAAAAGAAAGGTCCAGATTTTATATTACCTATAATAACTAACAGGGTCACTTAAAAATTATATAGTAAATATATATATAATAAAGGAAAAAATGTTAGTAAATCCCTCCTTGAATCAAAATTGTATCAGATAACCAAATGATGAGGATGCAAGCAAATAGATTTAAAGTGCAAGCAAATAGCCACAAAATCTCAAGCCTATTTACTTAAACCTTTGACTTATCTGCTTGTATCCTGGTCCTTTAGTCTTCTAGCACAATTTCAGTCTCAATGAGAGACTTATTGGCAATTTTTCCTATAATAAAGTCACTCAAATAAAAAATACCCATATTTTACCAAAAAATACCCATATATATTTATTTAATTATTTAAATTTTTATAATTTGTACTATTTATAAGTCATGAGTAATGTTATTTCTTATGATATTTCATTTTTTATAATATGCATAAGACGTAAAGTTTGCATTTAGACTCAAGTCTCTTCATTTTATTTACGTTTTTATTTTTACTTTTATCTCTTCACTTTTCTTATTAATTGAATTTAAACTGTAAAACTTTTTATCTAAAATTTCTATTCAAATTAATACAACCTTAATTAGAAAAATTTCATCCGATTATTATTTATCCCTTGCATTACATGAGAAAAAAATAAAGTACTAAAATATCATCCTAGTAATGTTCTTAAAATATAGGGTTAAAAGGCAAAAATGACCATAAAATTTTCCTTTAGAGACACTTAGTATCATTAAGTGATATATGGTGTAAAAGTACCCCTAACATTTATTTAATAAGTATAGCCATCCCGAAGCTATTTGAAGAGCTAGACATTGACCATGTAAGCAAATGGTTGATTGGTTTAGCTAACACGGCGTGAATAATCTAATTAAGATTATCCTTGTTGGTGTTTTTTGGCTGAGTCACAATTTCCCTTCAGTAGCATAAAGAGTATAGGGTTCGACACTTCATTATTTTCGAGTGTCACATCTAAAAATCAAAAGGTCAAGGTTTCTGGTCTGATAAGGTTGGAAGTCAAGATGAAGACTTGGTCAGACCATGGCAAAGAAGGCGAAAGGGAAGGCACAAGTGGGTAAGACACGAGAGAGTGAAGGAAGTGGGGCACATATGACTAAAGAATCTCCTGCTAAGGTTACGAACTGCAAAAATGACAACATAAAATCACAGGTAATCATCGATTCTTTTGAAAAGTGTTCTTGTTTTATAATGGGCATGGTGGAATCCCATGGAAGCCTCTTATTTTTCCCTACATTTCTAATTCTAGAGTAAGAAGGGCGAGGAGAAAGTGGTGTGGGAAGAGGGCAATCATGAGGAAATAATGAACTAGGTAAGGCAAGCTAAGCTTGTGGCTAGATGGCTAGATACAGTGAATTGACCAACCTTGCAAAAATAGGATGGGAAGAGACTCAGCAACAATTGCGAGGTGATTATGACTCAATTATAGATAATATGATTCATGGTGATAGGTTATTAAATATGGAAAGAGTAGAAATAAAAATGGGAAGGGTATGTCAGATGCTAATTTAGAGTATGTGCAAGATATAACTGATAATATAGATTTATTTGATGATATAGAGAATTTAGAAGGTATTGGAGACATACTTTTGAGTCCAATGAGGATGATGAGCATGAGTCAAATGGATTCAGCATGACTACACTCATTAAATAAATGTGAGGGATACTTTTACACCATACCTCACTTAATAATATTGAGTCCCCTTGAAAGAAAACTTCATGGGCATTTTTGCTCTTTAATCCAAATTTATATATAATAAACATAAAATTTCCACTATGATTTTTAGTAATACCTCACATCCCTGCTCTATTGTATAAAAAAAGTGGTTAATATTAGAAATTTCAAACACTTAATAAGTATAACTATGTTATTGCAAAGTTTACCAAATTATAATTTTACTTCTGATGTTATTATAAATTTTGGATGCTCTGCTAATATTTTGATATGTTATTTTAATTATATTTTATTACTCTTATGTATGGTTCCTTATCATCAGATGTGAAAGAGGGCAAGATGTGTTTAGCCTAATACCTTATAGGCCCATACACCAGTTAATCTTTTAAGGAATATTATACCTTTTTTTCTTAAGAAAAGTACAAGCAAAATCTTTTTGAAATATGCAAATCACAATGAGGTCTCCCAAAATATTATAATTATTCTGAAATCCCTAGGAACCTTTCTGACATATTTGTAGTGAAATTACTAAAATACCCCAGTTTAAAATAAAAAATTTAGTTGCAGACAATCCAAGCAACTCTTTAATCATTCAAATCCTGAGACATCTGCCTACTGAGGAACTTGCCTAAATGATGCCTTTGCAATTGATCAACAATTATGAGAAGCAATTCCATGAAATATAAAGAAATGTTCATACAACAAAGCCCCCTGAACTTTATAGACTTTAGGGTGGTATTGTTAAATCTATTTTTAAAAGACTAGGAACTGAAGATCCAAATTAGATCTCTGGAAGAATATTGTCCATTGCTCTAACCTTCATTGGACATGAAAAAGATTCCCCAAGTGAGTAGTTCATATCAGATGCTAAGCTTGTTTATGTTTCTCATACCAATGGTCACTTTATTTAAGATTGTGCCCTAGAAATGTGTGATTTAGATCATGATTGCTATCTTTAAAATGATTCAGATGATGGTGCTTATAGTTCTAAAAGAAGAAAGATTAGGAAGCCTAAGAGACCTAAATCTCCATGTAAGCACAAACATCCTTTCAAGGATAATGGTGATGACCATGGTCCTAAGCAAAATACAAAGACGAAGATCGGTAGCACCTCTAAATTCTTCCACTAAAAGGAGCACTCTTTTTTAACTTTTTAAAGAACTATGTCGTGATTTTCTCCCTTTGGAGAAACCAAAACTAGCTATTCCACCTCTTTTAGAACCCTTGATTCCAACAATTCTACCTATATAAGTTCAAGCATTACCTTATATTGCAATGATGAAACCTTATGAGGAAGAATTTCCTCCCCTTGAACAAAAAACAAGTGACAGAATAAGGTCACTAGTGGACCTTTTGTTCCACAAATGGAAGTAACTCCTCAAGGCACTCTTTAACATGTCTCACTCACGAAGGAATTCTAAATTGACAATCCCAGAATGCTATCGATCAAAATAAAGTCTTACATATGATAGATTCAAAAATTGATCATTTCAATATAGTAGCAGGAAACCTGTCTTTATAGGTTAACCAAATTGATGATTAGATAAAGAACCTATACCAAAGGCTCTATAAACAAGAACAAAAACCAGATGTAGACTCCCTGGGTTTATTAAAGGATACTTTAGACTAGAATTCTTTAAAAAAGAAAAAGAAATTTCTAAAGTAAAAAGACAACTACAATAGATAGAAGTAGATTTAGCCCAAGACCAATCTAGGACCATATATGAATCTTATCTAACTTACCCCACTATGATCAAACAATTTCCTACTTATATCTCAATACACCCTACTTACCTAAATGAGACAGATTATAGCAAAGTGTTCAAAATGTCTTACCCAATTGTCAAAAAATCCAAAAAAAAAGCCTAATCAAAAACCAAAAC